AGCCAGCCAGGGCAGGCAGGAAGCTTGGCTTCCTCCATCGCCGGGGCAACCAAGCCTCCTGCTTGCTCCAGCTCCGTGGCTGCTGGCCGCCATCTTGGTTGGGTTAATTTGCATATAGTCGCTCTGATTGGCTGGTGGGCGTGGCTTGGGCATAGTGAAGGTACGGACAATTAGCATCTTTGTCTTTTATTAGTGTAGATGGCCTGGTTTGTTTGGTGAAGTGTTTTATACTTAAGAAAAACAAAAACCTTACCACCAAATATACAAAAATGCACCTTTCATAAGTGAATTATTAGTGTTTCTAGGCCTGAAATATTATGTATGTTTTATTTACTGGATGTTTACATTTTGGGAAGGAAAACATTTTTATTAAAAAATTGAATACTTGTAATTTGTTGTTCCTAAGATTTTTACACCATAACAAAATGTGTTCTTTTCTCATGAATTTATAATTTCTAAATGAAGGCAAGACAGTGTAAAATTGGGGGGAAGAACAGACTTTATTAATGAAGTGATGTCTTGATTTTTGTAAGTGAGAAGATTATTTTATTTTTAACACTAAATATGAAAGCTGTTTCTTAGCAAACTTGTTTGGAAAGATTAATGTGTTGTGTATTAGATCTCCCCATTTTGTGTATGCCACAGATCTGATCTTTGTCTTCTTAAGTTCCTCTACTTTATAGTTATGGTTGTACTTTAAAAAAAATACTTCATTATTTCATGGCTTTCAAGTATATTTAAAATGTGACTTACAGAACATTGCAAATGATTAAAAGCAAAGAGATGTGAAAATCTTACAAGCTAAATGGATTCTTAATGTCATAAGTGTTTTACTTTGATGATGTGCCTTTGATTTAATTTGAGACACTTTAAAATGGAAACTTTATTTGTATTTGTAATAATTTTTGAAGAGCTTGGAAATAAAATTTCTGCTTAACTCAAGAAAAAAGAAAGAAAGAAATATCCAAGTGATGAATAGCAAGGACCTACAACCAAGATTATTCTACCCAGCAAAGCTATCATTTAGAATTGAAGGTCAGATAAAGAGCTTCACAGACAAGAAAAAGCTAAAGGAGTTCATCACCACCAAACCGGTATTACAAGAAATGTTGAAGGGCATTCTTTAAGAAGAGGAAGAAGAAAGAGGAGGAGAAAGAAGAGGTAGAGGAGGAGGAGGAGAGGAAGAAAAATGTAAACAATAAAATGGCAATAAATATATATCTCTCAACAATAAAGATTTTTTTAAAGAAATTTTACTCTAAATGGAATGGAATCTCCTAATTCCGTACAAAATACAATATAAAAACAGTACTCCATTTATTGTGATGTTCACAAAATCAATATTAATTTTTGTTCTTTATTTCTAAGATTCAGTCAGCTTTCAATATACCACATTATTTGGCCAGAAATTTAATTCTCATGTTTCTCCCTCCCTTCTCAAATCACATATTCTCTTAAGCAGTCAAAAGTAAAGCCTTAGGAATGTTCTGGGGTTTGCTTTTTCTTGTAACAGGCAGAAGTTCGTTGGAATCATCATAAGTGATGTAACTTGGTTTCTGTTTTGTTTTTTGAGTTGACAAGAGAGAGAGAGAGAGAGACATCATTTTGTTATTCCACTTATTTATGCCTTCATTGGCTGATTCTTGTATGTACCCTGGCTGGGGATTGAACCTGCAACGTCGGCATACTGGGACAACACTCTATCCAACTGAGCTACCTAGCCAGGGCCACGCTTGGTTTCAATCTGTTGTTAATTTAAAGTTCTCCTACTCAAACAGGCAGTCTAGGGTACTGGGCTCACACACCTGTGATTAATCTGGCTGAGTGCTGGTGCTGTAATTGTTCCCTCACATGGCTGCAGCTGAAACAGCAGTCTTTTAAGCGTAAAGTGTTGAGTGCCTGGACCAGCGTATAATTGCGTAGAGAAGTGATAATGGGAGTTATGGTCCTCCCAGTGGTCACCCAGATCTGGATGAATATTGAAAAGTCAGGGAGAGCCAGAGAAACATTGTCCTGAAAAAAGGTGGGGAAGGAGGGGCAGGCCAGGGCGGGGAGGGGGCAGGGTTGTCTGTCCTTTCTAGGCAAATATTAGAATTCATTCACCTTCATCAGAATCCGCAGAATACTTTCTGAGTTCAGCTCCTGTTGCATAGTCCCTCCTTCTACAACCAAAGATTTCTGTTGGGATAAACTTCCTATCGCCAATGATTAATAGTTGTGTCAGAGATCCTTGTATAACACTTTCCACATGAATGCCTCAAATGGTCACTGTTCAAAGATAAACTGAGGCCATGTCTGGGTAGCTCAGCTGGTTAGAGCGTCATCCCCATATGCGAAGGTTGCGGATTGTGCGTTGCAGGTTTGATGCCTGGTCAGGGAACATAGAAGAATCAACCAATGAATGCATAAATGGATGGGACAACAAGTCAGTGCTTCTCTCTCTGTCACTCTAGAAACAATCATAAATAAATAAATAAAGACAAACTGAGGTATATTAAAATTGTAGAGTCCATTTGAACATATATCAATTGGAATCGGGCAGCACCAAACCAAAAGTGGTTAGCAGCGCTCCTTGGACAGGACCAGGGAAAGACTTTTATAGAGAAAAGGCAGAAGCAAAGCAAGGATTGGCCATCAGGAAACCCTTCAGTCTGTAACCGTGAGGTATTTACAGGCTCAGGTTTGGATTTGCTTACAGAGGCCACCATGGCGTTAACGCCACCTCAGTCTATGGCCTCTTTGTTTAATTGGTTTAACATCACCAACACTGAGCAGTAGGAAAACAAAATAAATCACCGTCTTGTGTGTAGTACTGTTTAAAATGCTCATCATTTGTTTAAGAGCCTATGCCTTTTTTACAAGAAATAGTTAATAAACTATATTAACTGAGGTTGGTACCACACAAAAAGTAGCTTTATTGTGACAGAATTCAAGGGAAGGCTAGACACCTGACTTTGTCTTCTCTGCATACCATAGTCATGACTGTATTTGTTGCACAGTATTATCCCCATTTAAGAATCTATTTTTTTTAACACACTCAACAGGGTTTTTTAATGAAGATAGCAAAAGTGTCACCACTACCAAGAATTCCATAAACACTTGGAAATAAGATGACTCACTCTAAAATCAACTCATAATGCATAAGACATAGGCAAGGTCATCCCCAAAATAATAATTCTCAAACTTTTTGTACATTAGATTTTTGTTGGTTTAAAATTATATTCCCAGACCCCATCCCCAGAAACACCCATTCAGACCATCTCCCAGAATGAGATCCAGGAATCTGCATTTTTAAGTTGATTTGAGAGAGAGAGAGAGAGAAATATCTATTTGTTGTTCCACTTATTTATGCATTCATTGGTTGCTTCTTGTATGTGCCCTGCCAGGAGATCGAACCTGCAACTTGATGTGGGAGAGAGGAGAGAGGGAAGAAGGAAGGAAGGAAGGAAGGAAGGAAGGAAGGAAGGAAGGAAGGAAAGTAGAATGTCAGTGACCCCTCAGCCTGGGCTAAGGGAGAGAGCGAGCCCTAATCTAAGCCAAGAACTCTCCCTGCCTGGGCAGGATGGCAGATATTTCCACTGTGAAGATGGACACTTTACATCATCTTAGATGACATCACTAAACATCTGAGTTATAAATCTAACACCCCTCATTCCAATTTCTGTGGCCACTAAGCAAATTCCTCTTACAGAATTTTACTTTTCACATAGCCTGCCTTTGCTGATGGCCAAAGGCTGCCAGTATTTGGTATCCCCCCCCCCACCCTCCCCATTTCTCATCATTCTTTGAGTTTGGTTCATGTGACTTCACCCATGAGAAACATTCCGCTCTCCACCATTCCTGATAATACATTAGGTTTCTGTACTTCTAGAGCTTAGGAGCACATTCTCAACTATAAAAATCTTCCAATGATTTAAATTCTCAGACCTCCTGGGAACATGCTTGGCAATACCTGACCTCACAAATGATTCATACCTTCCTGTGGAAGCCTCCTTGCCAAGAAGCTGTTGAGAGTGATCCAATCCACTTTTGGTGAAGGGCCTCTAGGCCATTTACAATACTAGTAAACTTTAATCAAGGGCCAGGGTAAATTCTGCTATTAGTCCCCAATGTCTCTCATCAGAGCCTGAATATGCAGCAGTCAAGATAGGCGTGAGAGAAGGACAAATGTCAAGTTCTCACATCAGCTGTGCTGCTTATTCCAAATATGGTCAAAATATGAGGTTCCAGGTAGACATATCTTTTGGGAGGACACCACACAACCCGCTATATCAGAGAAAAGGCTTCTTACCCAATACCATGTCCCATTCAGCTATGGCCTTAGCAAATGC